GGAAATGCACAGAATTTCGCAACACTTTGTTGAAACAATAATCACTGAGATTATTATTGTTGTTGGGTCATTAATTAGAACACGTTTTGTTGATTTTTTTGCTGTTCTTAAATAAAGTTACGAATGTTTCAAGCAAATCAGAGGAGGACCTGCTGGTCTCAGCCTCCTGGCGGCGTTCAGTTTGTCTCCTAATGCCGAGATCGACTCAAAACCTTCTGAGATTGACGTATTGCACCGCTGCTCTAGGAAAGCACGAAGAGTTCAGAAACAATATGAAATGGGAAAAAAGTTATTTATTAACTGATTAAGTCGTCTTTTAGATTGTTCTTGAAAAACTAATCAGTCATGTTTGATTAGAAGATGCAACACAGCTGCAGAGTGAACCCATTGATTTTCTACAGCAGTCAGCCGCTCCTCTCTTTTGCAGGTACTGCGTATCCCCGCTAAAACCTTTAGGGGTACGCAGTACCCTGCCGTACCCCCTTACTTTCACCCCTGGTCTCTATCTCTGTAAACCAGGGATATAAATATTAGTAGGTCAACATTCTGGATCGGGACTGTCCCTGGATCATGAGGCCTAAAGAACAGCTGTAGACCACTGAGCAAAAGTATGATCTGAAAGGGATTTATGGGTTTATGTAGAAAACTACTTTAAATCACTAATTGTCAAAGTTGGTGTGAAATTGCCAGGTATAAATCGACATGTTCAGTACCAAACCTACAGCAGTACACAACACTGTTTTCTAAAGTTTTGTATGAAATGAGTTGCTAATGGTGCAGAAGTGAAATGATTAAACTCTAATGCAAAGCTTGATGCTAAATAAAACAATAACAGCCATCTATAAAAATGAATAGGATGAAAGTATTTGCTGCATATTGTGTTCAACTGCTTGGCCTTTTTAATTTCTTGATTGTGTTTGCTGTAGTGTAGGTGTACATGTACATATATGTTTTGGGGGAAAAGCATCATATTTAACAAACTGCAGAAAAACGTGTAACAAATAGGTAATGTCTGGGCTTTTTGCTTAGCAAATTGGTTTCAACTTTTCTTCAGTCGAAAAGGCTTAGAAAATATGAACAGAAAATCCTGCAACTTAAACAAGTTTCTTCTTGTTGAACTTGTGGATTTCTGACAATCATATTCAATTGTGTGGTTTTCTTTTAATAAAAATAATGTCAAATCATTCAATTAAAACTGCAGTATGTAGCTTTTATATGTTTTTGTTTGTTTTGTGTTTTAATATGTGTTTTTGTGTCGTGACAGCACCCCACTGCAGATGTGAGAATATCAAAATAAAATTTAAATGTTTAAACTATTAACTACTATTATTCTGACAACACTTTATAACTTATTTAATTAAAACCTTGAGTACAAAAACTGGATAATTGAAAATATTGGGAATTTGGTGTAAAATAAAAACATAATTAACTATTGCACATATTATACAGTTTGCCAAAGTTAACACAAAAAAGTTACACAACTTACTGCTGTGAGCTCATCTTTCACAAACTGTTTAAGTTCAAAATCTAAAACCTTTCAGATTTCTTTGACCTAAAGAGTAAAAGGTTAGTAGAAACAGAACTACATGTAGTTTAAATGTTTTACAAATGACTGGTTTGGAAAACCTGTTGCAGAGTCCTTAGAACCAAAGAACTTAGAATACAATAGTGTCATGCAGTTTTTATTGCTCTATGTATTATTGACTAAAACAAAATGTAAGGGAAGCTGATTTTTAATTAATTAATTTTTTTATTTAACATGATTCAAACTGTAACATTATTTTATGACTATCATACACATTTATAGATCGCTTTCCAAATGTTCTATGATCAATGAACCAACAATAGAAACGTGTGAAACGTTGACCTGAAACCGCTGTGAAAACTTTGGTGGCGACTTTTCTCAAAGTGGAAAGTGATACGCAGGATGTAAATGCATTCAACATCAACCAAACAAATTACAATACAGTCATAGGTCTAAAAAAATTATGTTATGAGCAACTACAGGCACTTGTTTTACTAACATTTTAAAAAAAACATACAACAGAACTTAATGTAACAAAAAGTTTGTTAATTTAACTAAATGAATAACATGAGCGTAAATGTGTTGCTTTTTCTATCACTATAAAAGACCAGTAAACAAATGGATAAAACGGAATATTGGTGCATCTAAGTGAGCTCTTTACTTTTTACCAAATCTATTCCCAACTGACCAACATTACGATTGTAAAAGCACATTGTCCCTTTAATTATTCCTTATTTCACCAAAAGGCTTATTTTAACAGAAAATGGCTGAGAGAGAAAAGCAGGAAACATGTGTAAAGGTCATGGTCATAAAACCTCATACTCAACCGTTATGTTCTCCTCAACCACTATGTAGTGATACACATAACCAACATTACTGCTGTGATTTTCATGCACATCCCCACAAACAGTTTTGTGGCTTCACAGTTTGTCGGCGTAGTCGTCTCCGAAGTCAATCATCAGCCTCAGAGCACTCAGGATCAGAGTGGTGACGTCTGAATTCAGCTGAATTTCATCACTGTAGTTCTTCACTGGGAGGATGCAGTTCATTGGGATCCCCAGGCTGGAGCTGAAGTCACCCATCTACATAAAACACAATAATTGTTTTATTTTTTGTACATTTTTAGGGGGTTGTCCCGTTTAGAATAAATCTTTCCTTGACTCACCTTTTTCTTTAAATGTTTGCTCTTGTAGACGTTTTTCAGATCTCTTTCTGTTTCACCACAGGCTTCATCAACGTGGCTGAGAATCGCCAGCTGAGGGATTCCTGTGGATACAGAGATACAGACTCTAAGCATGGAGTTACTCAAGAAACTCCAAATGTATTTAAACAATATATTTAAATAACTACATCCACAGGAGTGTGATGAAACATTTATGATGACATAAAAAAGTAAAAAAATAATAATTTCCTTTATTGTATAATAATATTCTAAAAGGAAATTTAATGTTTCTTACCCAGCTCACTGGCTGCTTCTCTGATTTCCCTCATCTTCTGTAAAACAGACTGATTCATTTGTGCTGCATTAGCAGAATAAATGCAGACCAGAACATGAACTCTGTCACTGATGGACGGGGAAGAGGTGTAGCCATGATCACCATCAGAAAGAGGAGATACAGGATTGAACTGTGGAAATAATATGATGTATATTCAGTAATTTATTTTCCACATAAAGCAAGCAAATTAAAATGCCTTTAAAAGAAGGATTTTTTTTAAAGCAGAAAAGTTTGCATTTATACCTTATATCCATCCTTCACATGTCCCTTCAAGGCGTTTTTAATGTCATCTGTTCTGACTCCTCTTCCATCTCCGTCCTCCAGACCCATGATGTCATTGAACACAAATGGATAAAAGTTTCCCTTGCTTCCTTTCTTGATTTGATAGGTTTGATACTGGAAGAAAAAAAAGGTGCTTTATGTAAACAGCAGGAATACAGCTGCTAAAATATATGTTTTAACCTAAATGTATTTTTACTGAATAAAATTCTAAGTAAGACAGTTCTATAGTCAGTGGTTACATGTTTGTAGCTACTCTGTCAGAAAATGTGTATTTTCTGCCATGTTACTGGGAATATTTACAAGATTGCAAAGAACCACTTAAGAAGACTGAGTTGATAAATCTTGTATTCTAAAAATATGAATAAGATTTCAAAATTAAACAAGGAATTATATTCACAATCTTGGTGAAACTTTGATCAGAGGTTGTGTTGCTGGCCAGAGCTTCATTGGTCATTCTGCCCTGCAGGACGTTGTTGACGGAGTTGATGAAGCTGGACTTCCCAGCACCGACTGGGCCGTACAGCAGGACTCTGATGTGGTTTGCCTCCTCATTTTGAGGCCGAAAATTCTTCAAGTACTGAAGAGCATTCTTGTTGTCTCTGTTAAAATGGAAAATTTAAAATCATAAGTTCAGAAAATAGTTTTTACCATGACAAACAGAGGTGACTAGGCTCCAGGCAAGACCCTGAACCCCAATCAGCCTCCTGGTACTGAGATTGATGTACAGTAAATATGTGAACTTCTAACACTGGGAATTGGTGAATATGACCTGCAATTCACTTTGTGTGATCAGTATGTTGTGGAAATCACTACATACGTTCTGTTAGTTTACAATAAGCTTCAGCTAACTACCCACTGAAACACATTTAACTACTGAGAATCCAAAGTCTCTAATGAATCATTTAAATATCAGTTAAATAAGAACAATTGGGTGCAGTTGATTTCATACTGGCCCACTTTCACCTTTTGTAACTATAATATTACATGTAAAGTGAACATTTAAGACAAAATGTTCAAGTTATGGAGTGTGTTTTCATAGAAATATAGAAATTATGCAACATTATATTGTACACCACAACGCCACACAATTCATCGACTTGATTGAACAGTGGATAGTTGAACCCATTTCATCGCCTACATTTGACCAAACACGTTTAGCTGCATCGATCTCCAGAGCTTCTTCTTTCTAATTCCCTGCCCGTCTTTCTACTTCAATCAAGTGCACCGAAGTGCTACATCAGGTTGCATCTCCAAAAACAATAACTATCTATGGTAGGAAACATCCTCTTAAAAACTGTTTTGTTTCATCTCTAATTATCTTAAAGTACAATTCAGGATAGTCAAAATGTAGCTGTCGAGTCAAAACTCATTTTTAGGTACTGGAATATAATTATGCCCCATGAAGGACTGGTGACCTCCGGCGGTCAACTCACCCATTGACCGCTGGAGATAGGCACCAACACCCCTCCTGGGATAAGGGTGTAAGAGGATAGATGGATGGAATATAATTATAATCAGATGAAACGGACTTTGTTAAATGGCCTGCCACCCTTGACTTCGTGATCGCAGGCCCAATGAAATGTAGAGAGAGAAAACCAGTGCTTGGTTCCCAAACTTTAAACAGGCCCACATTGAATTGTCCCAGTCTTCCTGATTAGGGCTTGTCTAATCCCTGAAATGTGTCATATTGTGATTTCTGTGGCAAAAAAAAACAATAACAAAAATAATGTTATGTAACTTAAACCAATGACCTGGTTATGTTATCAGGGTAAGCTGAAACTGCTTTGATGGCTGATTATGCTGAACCAAAAAAACTAAATTCACCTTCAGGATATAGATCTTAACAAGGCACATTTACTCACCCCCAAGTTATCTCCCTCCATGACGTTCTTAAAACTGTGAAGGAGAATTCACAGCAAAGTCTTAAAACCAGAACAGAGTGTTGAAGTAGAACAATTCATTTCTTTATTGAGGTAAGAAAAACACTTTCTGCTGTGTCAGCATGAATGATAAGTTGTACTCACGTGGAGATGGAGGTGGAGCTGAACGGAGCAAAGAGACACATTACTTAGATTCATAAATGACTAAAAATATAATTAATGTTTATATTAAAGTAATAAACACAATGGGTGTTCTTAAATCTGTAGTACATTGAGGCAGTGGTGGTGAATAGATTCAGTTTTACTCTAAAGTGAGTAAAGAAAAACATTAAAATGAAAAATACAGAGAAGAAACAGTACTTATATTGAGGAGCTAAACAAAACAACACGGGAAATATTGTGAGTTAAAATTTCAATAATTATAATTCCAATACAGTTTCCATTGCTACGCTTTTCAGACAGTCCCTAACTATGATCCAGTGTTTATTCTCAATGGTTAACATTTTTATAACACTTTCTGCTATAAAAACATGTTCAAGATCAGTTCCATTTGAAGGGGAAAATAAAATTAGCTGAAAATATGCAACATATGTACAAAGTGAAGTGAATCAGGGAAATAATCAATGCACATGTCACAACCAAAACAAACAAGAATGTAACTTACATGGTTGTGAAGAGCTGCCTCCCATGACAGTAACAGGAAATACTCTGTGAACACAGAGAAAGGAAGAGAGAATAACTCTCTGTAATGGTTTGTCAGAGCTCTGTAAATCGGCTCATTTGTTTTCCAGTCGTTTAGTGCAGGACCGGCAGAAGTCCCGGTCCTGCCATGACATCAGCGCACTGTGACCCGCGAACACAGACAGGGACGAAAACGCACTCCACATTAACACAAAAATATATCAAACCAACCCGTATTTATTCGTATTTATAGCTGCTTTGTTACTGACAAAACATAAGGAAAAGAAACCTACCTTAGGAGGAGACGTGCTGCAGCAGAGAAAACCGATGTCCTGATGAAAGTAAAAGCGAACGGCTCTTTTAAAGTGCTTCCACAGTTTTACTTTCACTTTCATGGACCATGTGATTTCTAAGAAGAGCACTCACTTTGTGGAAAAAAGGTTTCAGTTTCCACGAGACAGAACAGCAACATAGAAAATCTGAGCTTGTCAACAACTGCAGGATTTTGGCTGACCAACTAATCTAACAAGTATGTGCATAGAGTTGAATGCACGAATGGAATATTATGTCTAATATGTTTTACAAATAGAAACATAATGGTCTCAATGCCAGTAAAAAGTCATGCAAAAAAGAGATAAATCAAAGCTGTGTGGCTTATAATAGAAGATTTAGAGTTTAGAAAACTCTAGAGTTTCTCAATAAATATAATTTCCTCAGAGAAAAGATATTGTTTATTATAGGTTCTGCATATTTTGTATGTCTATATTCAATTATATTGCATTATTTCAAGTCATCAGGTTGGGATGCCTGATGATGTTATGTGGTCATATGCTGATGTCATCTAAGCCTCGCCCCCTGGCAACAGAAAGTCACTTTTTTTCTTGGACAGCTCCACCTCTGACCCCTTTGACCTAATCAAGATGATATTGTGTCAGAAGACAAGTAACAAGTTGGTCTCACTTGCATTAAAGCACAAAGAGAAGGAGTGGGTTTGGCCGCATGTCGGGGTCAGACGTTACGCCGTTGATATACGTTTGGCCCTTAATTCCTCATATTTCAGCCAAGCTGTACCACCCACACTGTGATCAGCCCTAATCCACCCCCGAATAGGAACCCAGTCCAATATTTGGTGGGCGTGGCCTAAGTCCTCCACAGCGCCCCCTACAATATTTTCAAAGTGATCCCCAGGCCATGCTTTAATTGACAATCATAAAATCTGGTAGACATGTGTACCTTGTGAGGACCTACAAAAAGTCTCTTGGAGCCATGGTCCAAACACCACAGGAAGTCGGCCATTTTGGATCAAAGCCACCATCATATGAATGGTGAGCTGCTCTCATATGCACCTTTAGTGTCATAAAACAGCAGGGAAGAGGTCACTGATGCCCCAGACTATTTCAGTTTTACTTTCCTTATCAGGATCAAAGCCGTTCTTTTTTTTTTTTTACAACAGGCAAATGGCAAGGCCACCTGTGCTCAACTCCACAAAATCCTGTGTGCATAACACTCCAAATCTTTACAGCTACAGCTCAGCCAAGCCTCTTTTCTCTTTGTTAGGAAAACAACCACTAACAGTGACAACCTTCTGTCACATGATCTGCTGACCGGAACCTCTAAAACACAGACAGAATCAACTGTTAGTTGAAGTAAACTAACAGAGGGGCTCCTTCAAATGTTTTCTTTTAAGTGTTTTCCGCTTTTCTTTCACCTTTTAAAACCCACATGTTCTATAAGAAGTCTGGATTGTCAAAACCTATTTCATTTTCCTGTTATCTGTGTTGCAGTAGCTGTCAGTGGTGGCCGGTGGAGTGTTCTCTAGGGGGCGCTAAAACTCCAAAATAGACATCTATCAAGACAAACGCAAAGATTTCACACCAATGTATTTACATGAGTAAAAATAACACAAGCAACATCATAATGTCATGTAGTGTTTTACTTTTTGTACAGAAATGTTGCCCTGCTATCTGTTAGAGAAGAAAAAAATCTTGTTGACTCTGTGGTTGAAGTCAGAGATGGTTTTGAAAAGATTCTTGTCCCCTAAGTTCCCCACTTTTTTCACAATACAGCATTACTATGATTAAATCATTGTCTGTAACAGAGTTAAATTACATATGACATGTGTAATTATCATGTAACTAATTCCACAGGGTCTTTTCATTTTTCTTAATACTTTTACGTTGCTGTTGCTCCTTCTGAATTCGTCCCAGCTGAACCTTTTTGTCCGTTGCAGACGGTTAAAAGACTTTCCTGTTGTGCAGGAAACGCCCTGATACAAGATATTGGGCTCATTGTCAAACACAAGTGAAAGTGAAAATGTTTTCTGCAGGGAACCAGTTCATCCAGCAGGTTCTCTCGTTGTGTCAGCCTTAGCAGCAGCAGCAGCAACAGCAGTAACACACAAAAGGTAACAATTGAGTTTTTTAACAATTTTATTGTTGTTACTGGATTGTTCAGAACAAAGTGACTGGCTCATGACAGGTCATTGTTAAATAATATGCTTGTTAATTTAACAATGTGGTGTATTAAAGTCTGTTAATGAAATATCGAGTCGAAGTTAAAAAAAAAAGGTTATTTAAATAAGGTGCAGCCTCATAGGAGGATCCTTCCATCTTTACTTAAAGGGGCAGCACAGCATGCTTTCTAAATAGTGGTATTTTATAGCACAATCAAGTAGCTATGTTTACTTCAGCTGTTAAAAAAATGCTGCACATATCAAATTTGACTTAAAAGAAATTTTACTTTGTAATGTAAAGCCATGAAACTGGGCCTTGGTCACTTTAAGAGATTCCTGCTCTTTCTGAAACTCTGCCTTTGGCTCCTCTATTAACCCTTTACCTGCTATTCACTGAGATGTAGCCCTATAATGAGTTCAGCAGATGCTCAGTTCCACCAGGTGTTTGCTAATTACTGCTGGCTAGTCTGAAGGAGCTGAGAGGGAGAGTCACAGAGTATTTTATTATCTGTAAGCCATAGTCATCAAAATAGTCCACTTGAAATACATGACCTCGTGTATAATGTGCACCTGTAAAACATCAAGAAAGTTATTGTAACTCAGATTATTCAAAACAAAAGAGTTTGTTGTACTAAAATGATGTAAAAAAAAAATAACTTTTAGGATTTGTTAAAACCTTTGGTTTTTAATCTCGATTTCTCTACCATGAAGCAAATTGAAAGTAGGACATGTACATTGTTGCACAGTATATTTAGAAGGCCTTGCATCCTTAATTGTTCATGTTGCTCTTTTGTCTCTTTTTGAGGGAAACCACAAGATGCTTTGTCTTCCAAGTGAGTGATCATCTCAGCTCATGTAAATCAGGATCTTTCTCCGATTTGTTATTATCTGTTCATATTTTTTCTGCTTTGTATTTTGTTCATCAGCATCTGTCAAAGTTCAGACGGTCACTACAGGGTTAACCTATGGCGCCGATGTAGCTCTGATGAACCAAGTGAAACGGAAGGTGAAGTTGGAGGGAACCAACCGGGATGGAAAATGCATCATCGTTTTCTGTCCAATCACATCCCGTGTTGGTTCAGATGTGGAGGCCGCCATGCAAAACATACCATGTAAGCAATCAGGCAACATTCTCTTGGTAATTTTACTATGGGTTGTTAAAATGTAATCACACATAGTTAATCTGAGTAAATGTAACATTCAAATGATGAATATAGTTGTTTAAGTGGAAAAAAGTCAAACTAACTTGAATCCATGAGGAAAAAAATTGTAAATAAAAAAAACATAATTATTAAATGGCTGCAGATAACAAAGTATTACATGATGATGGAATTTAGTGAATGACTGGAATCTTGATTTTGTTAATCCGTCACTTGGTAGAAGTCAGAACAAAACCTAAAGAGCTGCACGTTTTACTGGAGAGAAAAAATCTGCAAGTAAAATATTCAGGCAGTAATTCATAAACTTGAGCTCAATCACAGTTTAGTTATAGAATTGAAGCCTCGTCTGCATCCATCCATCCATTTTCTAAAACCCTTGTCCCTCTGTGGGGTCAGGAGGTGCTGGTGCCTCTCCAGCTAACGTTCCAGGTAAGAGGCGGGGTCACCTGGACAGGTCGCCAGTCTGTCACAGGGAACCTTGGCATGACGAGGAGAAATGTTAAATTTGTAAACGAGTAAGAATAGATGTGCGTCTTCGCTGCAGTACGTATGCCAGGGCAATCGGTGGCGCTGTAACACTTCCCCTCTCTGGAAACATGAATGGAAATACTTTATTAGAAATTAAGTAAAAATGTTTTTGGTTGACTAAATCTGTTCTTTTTTTTTCTGCAGTGAATAAAAAGATTGTCTTAGTTTTGATGCATCACACCCGAGATCCTGACTACTCGACTGCAGGGACTTTGTGGTCGGAAACATATCCCAACATCGACCTGGAGGTTCATGTTCTCTTCCATGAAAGCGTCCCGGGGTTGCTCACCTCTTCTAAGAACACAGATGCCGTTTACAGAATGCAAAAATATCTGCAACCACGTGAAGAAAATAACTGGATGCCTGTTGCATTACTGTTGGTATTTGTGTTTGTGATCATTTTGTGGTTTTCACTGAGCTAAAGCTTTGATCAACAAACTGATGGAGAAACACACAACGTGTCTCGTTATTCAGAAATGTGAATTAATCGATTTGAATTAATAAAAGTAGTTTACTTATTCTTTTATGATTAATTGTTAAGTTCAAAATAAAATGAAACATTTATATACTGTCTACCTTATTCTTTATATATGTATAACAAAATCTGTGCTCTTCCAGATTGTGTTAGAAACTTTCAGTATTTTTGTGCTTCTGTCTTATTATTCACGTTTGTTTTCTTTGCTGTCATTTATTGTTTTCTTTCTTCGAGTCGTGAAATTAAAATATCTGGAGGGAACAAGGAAATAAAACTACTCAGAAAACTGAGAAGTCTTAAGTTCTTGGAATACTTTAAATGACAACCATTGACTCTTTATGTTATTGAGAACAGAAAGAGATTCTTCCTTTTTTAAGTGTACAGAGCTGAAACAGAAGCAGTTTGACTGAATAATTTTGGCTTCCTGCTCAACCTGAGCCATATCAAAGCTCTTTGGTTAAAGCCCAGTGGCTCTTGGTCTTCACTGTAAAATGCACTGTAAAATAAAGTGAGTTTTATTTGAAAATATATGTAAACATGTTGCTTCAAAAAAAAGGTCTCAAAACTTCTAAGTATTAGTAGCTGAACATT